TAAAACGAATATTTCAGTTTGAAGACAAATCAACTCATGGATAGAAAGTTAAAAGTCAGCAATGAAAATGACTAAGTCACAACAAGAAAAAGTGCAGTGAAAACACAAAATTACATTGCCAGGCAATTGGAGAGCTCAGAATTTCAGACCCCACAAGCACTGCAACGAAAGCAGCTATAAAAGCCCTCTAAAGTAAAGCAACCAGAGAAATAAGCACACTTTAATGTCAGAGCTGCTCTGTATATGAAAGAGCAACCACAAACAGAGCAGCTTCATTTCATTCGAACATGAATACAAGTGTTGACAAACAAACCCATGAAAGGGGGATGATAGAACAGTAACAAATGCTTTAAAGAGAGCCTCTGAAATCTCCTGGCCTGGTTCCACCAAAGGTACCCCAATAGGTTTTAACATGGTTTAGCAATGTAAAATGCCTTCCAGAGTATTCAAATTATTTATTTAAAATATATACATATGCATACAACTGCTGCCACTGTGATGTCACACGGTAGATTCAATACACTCCAAAACACAGAAAACACAGATAAGCTCTTTCTGTATGTTTTAACATGCAGTTTTATAGCAGACATGCAACTCAAGTGTGGCTGAACAAAGAAAGAATCAAGGCAGGACAACAATCAAAATTTCATGAGACGGAAATAAAAAATATTTTACATGTAAAAGAACAAAAAAGTAAATCTATAAATTATGGTGAGCTAACCTTAGAACTATTACATTGATAGAGACAGTGGCTTAATTCTACCAAGCCAAGCTTCTCTGAACTGTTTTAAGGAACACTGTAGGCCTCTTAACTACTGAACTAGGAGATTTTGGATTCATCAGCCCATTTTCAAGCTTCATAGTAACTGGCATGCACCACTCTGTGTGTTCTAGCCTAAAAATCTATTTGTATGAAGCAAGACAATCCAGTTCTAAGTTTGTGGTAGGAAATACTGCAGATGTATGCTATGTTATCAAGATGACAGACTTTTTCCAAAGGAAATTTATAACAATGCTAGATAACAAACATAAAGACAGTATTTTGTAAAATCACGCTACGGAAAATTTGATTTCTTAATGCAGATGTACAATACTCTGAATGAATGTGAAATAAAGACATAATTGATGATTCTCTGATGAATTCTGAATCATATTTAAGTTAAAATAACTTGAAGATAAAGGGTGGACAGTTAAAATGTTTTCAATATGGCCAAACCAGTCTCACATTTCTCAGAATGCCATATTTGTAATTATTCTATTCATCCAATGCTCTGTAACAAGAAAACTGGAGTAGAAAGATTAGGTAAAGAACACTGAAAATGAAGAGAAAAAGGGAAAGAAACAATCTAAGTCAAAGAATACAGCATGCCAAACTCCTGCTTCATTAGTATTGCATTAGGACAGTTAATTTATGTTAAAGATTCACCCCAAGTTGAGTGTTTTAGGGATACTCAATAAAATCAAAATGGCATCATCTGTGGAAGAAATCAGTCAGAATTAAAAGGTGTGGGAGAGTTAACAAGCTGCTGCAGATTCTAAGCCTGTGAGAACACCAAGCTCTGTTGACAACAAAATATAAAGCAAAGATTTTTGGAACCCTGAGTGAAGGTTCTAGAGACCCCAATTCTCAGTCAAAAGACCTTCCAGAAAAGTACATGACAGAGCTGTTCCCCTTTTCCATACATTTAGTTATCAGGCATAATAAAAAGGATCATCTGCTATCCCATCCTTTGCTGTGTCCTGCTACCTTTCACTAATATTTAATATCAAATGCAGTGCAGCCCAGTTCTTATCTGTGCTCAGAAACAATACTGGAATCAAGTAATTCCTGAGCCAAGGATTTCCCAAGATGGTTACAAACTAGAGGAAACCATCACACTTCAAACAACCTGCTTTATTGAGCAATGCCCCATTTGGTAAACAGTGAAAACTCCATGCCAAAAACTAGCTTCTAAAACCTAATACAGCATTCTTATAGCTTAATAATGAACAAAAGTGAAACAAATACAAATTATTAAGGTTATTTTTCTCATTTCATTCCCACACAACTACATGGAAAAGCCAGGATTTGTCAGCATTGTTTATTTGTCAGGGTCTAATCAGCTTGTTTGCCCTCTAAAGAAACACTACTCATTCTACTAACAAGGTTAAAGACCTAGAAAGGTTTAAGAGTTTGCATGCACATGCATGATGAATATCAACCTCTGCCTCTCAACTTCCCAAAAAGAGAAACAAAAGCCTTACAACCCTTTTTGCATATGTTTCATTGTGCTGTGCTGTCATGCAGAAAGATCAGGGTTTAAAGTTTTATGATCCTGAATGGAATAGCAAAAAAAAATACATTATCTGCTGAGAAATACCCACTCTTGATTTTGCATCAAAGAAAAACTTGAAACAGTCACAGCCCTGCCTTCCTACAGGAACAAATGGCAATGATTACCAGCCCAAAATGACTAGATACAAAATTGGATAAGGAAGCATGTGGGAAGTGGATGAATATCTTTGCATGCATTACCTTTCAGTTACTTCTTCCATTTAGAAGGATCAATATCAGTCACTTAGATTTAAAATAAACTTTGGATGATAACAGTGCCAAGTTAAAGCAGAGATAAGAACACACAATATATTAAGAAACCTCTTTCACTATAACTTTGAGGCATCTGGCTGGTGGTTACTGCCAAAGTCTGAAGAGCATCTGCTCTCACTTTAGCAGTTTATATTCCAACTCTGGTGAATGGAAGCACAATCTCTGAAACAGCCTTTGGGGAACACTACTGTGTTGCTCGACAGAGCTCTTACTCAGAAAAGAGAGGAGGAGATTAATATTACAGAAAACTTGAAAGATCTGGCTTCTGAGAAAGGAGAGAAGAGTGGTTTCCTAATACTGTACACACCACAAATCTCTCTTTTACTCAGACATTAAAAACCTGCCCTAAAACTGAAGTGATTAAATATGAATAGATCCAAAGGTAGAAAATAACATCTGTTTAAATCACATTCAGGTAAAAGTAAGAAGAAACAATGTGTTTTTATTGCATTTGTCAACAGGCATAATGAAAACAGGAGAATGAGGACTCACATAACACACGTTTTCCTAATGTGCTTGAGAAGGTCACAGGAGTTTTGCTTACTCCTGGTGAGTCCAGGCACAGCAACATATGGCAAGACTGAGCTTTGTCCTGGACTTACAATGTCGTTCTTTTAAGTGCCCAGTAGCACAAACTACTAAATTTGTGTGTGGTCCTAAGCAAACAACAAATCTGGCCACACACAGTGAAAACCAAGCTTCTAAAACTTCAAAATCAGCTGAAGGAATTCTCTCCTCAAGAGCCATAGATCCCAGATAGTAGCCACTTGTGAACCCCACAGCCACTTTCAAAACTATAAAAGGCTTCATGTAAAGCCAAAATAAAGCTCTAAAAGTGGCTGCAGGAGATCACTAGGAGTGGTCGCTCTTCTGGATTCACTGCTTTTGAGAAGTAAATCCCTGCAGCTGCTTTTAAAAGCTTTGAAAGTTTCATTTCAATTATCAAAGCCAATAAAGCTTCAAAAACAGCCATCGGGATTTGTTCCTCAGAGGAGCAAACCCCAAAAGGCAGTGATGAATAGTGTGATGGGTTCTGTGGCTCTTGAAGTATGTACAGATTCCTGTAAGTCCTGCACTTGCAATTACAGCTTCATGTTGTGCAGCAATTGTTATACACCCAGACAGCTCATTAAGGCTTATGTGGCAAGTTCATTACTGATTTCTCGGTTTTTTTATCAGTTTTATGTCTGTTCCTTTTCTGTTTTCTTCCACCTGTATCAACTATTATGTGAGGATCCCTCACACCAGTTTCTCAAACGCTTTCCATGAAGCCCTTGCTGGCTCCCAGTCCCAGGTGGTGGGAAGGCAGCTCACAAAATGCTGCACACACTTCCCCAGAGCACAGCACCTCATCCCATCATCCCACTGATAACTACAGCAAAACAATCCCCTTCTCCGAAGGGGAATTTAAAAGGGCATTTAGGGAAGTACAAGAGTGAAGGCTGACAACAGGTCAATGAAGAACTTGCCTGCAACTGCAATATAAAAAGGCTCCCGTTAATTCAATGAACATAAACACAAATAACATTTCAGAAGCAACCACATGATTTCAAAGAAATAACTGTACTGATTTGCAACAAGATTTTGGTCTTATCTTTAAAACTACGAGAAATAGATCCCTCAAAATTTGTGATGTAAGCATAGGTCTGATAGAAATACATGATTTACACTGCTAAACAATTTGAGCTTAGTATCTGATGACACTGATGGCACTGAAAACACTACCAAAATTATGTTGAAAAATACATCTTTAGGTACTAGAACATACAGAGTATATTAATGAAGTATGTCATATAAAATACATTCTAAGCATACATCCTAACCTTAAAACATCACTGATTTTGAAGAGTTACTCTACTAAATTTTTTAACTTCCGTTTTCAAATGGCAGAAATAAATAAATACAACTTTTTGCCACGATCAATAAATACAGCTTTTTGAAAAAATGCCATAAGAAAATCACTGTGAACTTAAGTAGATGCAGGTGTTAAGAACTGAATAACTGGTTTGTATGGGGCAAGAAAATCTGGACGGGAAACTTCAACATTCTGTTAGATGTTATTCACAGGTGTCCTCTGTGACCTGTACTACTTACTTTACCTCTCTGTTTCAATCTTCTCATGTGCAAAACATGAAGGAGGATTGTGAGAAATAATTAATGTTTGCAAAGAGCTTTGAGATCCTTGGATATAAAAAACATGGCAAAAGCATGAAGTTTAAAAGCCCCAGCACGCTTTTTTTTTTCCCTCCAACTTGAGGTAAGTTACTTTTATCAGAAAAACCTTGAAAGTTTAGCAATACAAGACTGTGTAATCAAATGCTTACAAACAAGCTTGAGTGCTAAGCCTATTGTGTTACTCAGAAGCACAGAACTGTGAAGGAAACACCAGCAGAAGGAAAGGTGTGGTGCTCACCCGTGTCAAGTATGCGTTTGTGGAGAGGTATAGCAGCAAGGAAGGGTTCATCTTTACAGGACTGGATCTGGGTTCCAACCAAGTCAGAGTTGGTGGCCATGATTCGGGCACTTTCTTCATTAAGATTAACACCAGCCATAGAGGCAACATCATTGATGTCATCATCATCTCTGCAATGAAACAAAGAAAGCCAAATAAAAATAATTCTGCATGTAATACATTCCCTTGGTGGACCATCTGCTGCTCCAAAAGTAGCCATCACGTGCCCAGGGGCTGGGCCAACTTCAGGCCCAACCATCGGTGTCTCCATTCTCACAGGATATATTCTAGATTCAGAAATTACTAAGTTTTTCTCTGACTGTATCAGGAAAACTTCAGGAGCAGGACAATTTGACTGTTAACAGGAGGTGTGACAGAGGGGTCTTCACCTGAGAGTCAGCGGTGTCAATGAAACCAGGATGGTCAGGAAGCTCAAGGCAATGATCACCACTAACGACAAAGTATTTGGCTGCTCTCTTTAGAATGGAAACTAGCAGTAAAATGGTAAAATACATACCCCCCCCCATGAGAAATTAAAAGCAAAACCATGGATTTCTAATCCTGCACTGTTCCATAAGCTCCTATCAAAATGGGCACCGATGCACGTTCAGGAATAGCCAGGAAGATTCTGTGACCATGAGGAGTTCACAGGTAAGCCTGGGTTCCAAGTGTGTTTGAGCATGTGATGGTATTTTCTCTGGCAACACACAAAAATCAGCTGAATGTGTCAACAAGTTTTAGAAAAATGAGTTGCATTTGAGAAGAGGATAGCACTTCCCATGCCATTTTTGGCCCTGAATATCCTTCCCAACAGCTTGAGAAAGTACCAATAAATGCGAGTTTCCACACCTGTATCTCCCAAGCATCTTTCACCTCCTCCCTCCATGAGGGATGACTCAGAGCTGTGGAAACAGCCATCTGTATTCAGCACATTCTGTTCTGGGGCTATTACTGACACAAACACTGTATTTCAACATATTCTACAAGTGATTACACAACCTTTCAGAATATACATATGGAAAAGTCCAGACACCTACTACTGTATAAAGCAAACAAACAAAAGCTTAATTTATTTTTTTTTTAAATTATGTAGATATTGTCCTATGCACCCTCGAATACTTTGTCACTTGTAAAAAGCTTAACATCTAAACTAAAAACCAAAAGTTGCAATTAAGGTCTGAGAATCAAAGGAGGGAAATCCCAAAATACATAATCTAGGTCCTCCCTGTCCTCCCATACTTTCCCTGTTATCTGCACTAGAGCAGCCAAGTTTGGTGGAAGACTTCTGTGGTTTGTCAGATACTGGTTTTGTTTTCTTCTGTGGAAGAAGTCAAGAAGGGATTTTTGATGGTGTGAACCTGCAGAAATGTGCTGAACACTTGAGGAAGGAAATGGAAAATTTTACAAAGGTTGTCAGAAAAATGCTGCACAAATGAGCTTCTATTATTGTCCATCAGCGTTAAGCACTTCATTTCTTCTCTTAAAATGAAATTCCAGGGAACAGTGTTGCAAAATCACAGAATGGGCTGGGTTGGAAGGAACCTTAGAGATCATTTAGTTCCACCCTCCTGCCATGGGCAGGGACACCTCCCACTAGCCCAGGTTGCTCCAAGCCCCATCCAACCTGGCCTTGGACACTTCCAGCGATGGAGAGCCCACAACCTCTCTGGGCAACCTGTGCCAGGGCCTCACCACCCTCCCAGGGAAGGATTTCTTCCAATATCCCATCTAACTCTGCCCTCTGTCACTGTGAAGCCATTCCCATTCGTTCTGTCACTCCAGGCTCTTGCAAATACTGTCTCTCCATCTTTCTTGTAGCTCCTTCAGGCCCTGCAAGGCCACAATCAGGTCACCCCAAAGCTTCTCTTCTCCAGGCTGAACAATCCCAACTCTCCCAGCCTTTCCTCCCAGCAAAGCTGCTCCAGCCCTCTGATGGTGTTCTCTCTTCCACGAGCCACAGCACGTCCATGGTGCTCACACAGGGGTCCCAGGGCCACCCCGAGGAACCGCAGCTCCGTGTGGAGTTGTCCCACTCCACGCTCCAGCCGTGTCCCACCAGCCCCCAGCACACCAACTCGGCCACACGACAACTAACAGCCTAACAGTGACCAGGTCAGAAGTTTATCATTCTAGAAGTGAAAATGTGGGGTTAAAAACCTCAACGCTTGAACTAGAGCAAGAATCACCCCCGACTCACGAGGCCCAAATCCAGCAGGCCTCGAACCACGGCAAAACCAAACTCCTGTCACGGTAGTTATCAGAACACAAACTCTGAACTATGTAAAACAGAGGAAGTTTGCTGTTTTCCAGGAAAACAGACTTGAATCCAGAATTCCAAATTAAAGAATTTAAAAAAACAAGCCGAGACAGCAGTCTTAACTCCAAGAACACAATTTTTAAAAGAATTTATACTTATCTCTCCTTTTATTTAATAGATTAAGAAAGTATAGTCAATCTTTTACCTTCCTCCTGCTCAGCAGTTTAGCCGCTCCAATTTTAATTTAAAATCTGCAACGATATTATAAATAAGCAAATATTTACTGAAATAAAAAACAGACCATTAATTTGGGCACAAACCAGGATTTCAGTGAAATTATCAAAACCAATGCAACAGCCCTTACAAAGACCATCACTGGAACTTCTGCACAGAATCATTTCCTTCCATCCTTGAAACCCACTATCTGTGAAGACATCCTTTTGGTTTTTGTACTACATGGAAGACAGGTAAGCCATGTTTTAATTATAGCTGGGACTAGGATTTTTTCAGTCTGACAAGAAAAACTTTTTTACTTTGAGGAACCTCATCATGAAACTGAGCTTTGGTTTGGATACTGAAACACACACATTTGTACATAAGGAGGGCTGGCATCCTCACCAGACAATTTGCTATAAAAGTGAACTTTTAAGCCCAAGGAGTGAGTTTTCAGAAGTTATTCTGTGGAACAAAGATGCCATCCAGTGGTCGTCTAGACCGATGATTACTGTCTATCCTTCCCTCTCCATTGGAGTACAGTATTTAACAATTTCATGTTTCTTGGCATATATTATTTTGCCTGTACTAATTCTACTGTTTCAGTAAATACTTCTGGGTTTGACTGAATTAAATTCTGAGTCTCACGGGGTAAATTTAACATTCCAACACGCATGATATTTTTAAGAAGACAGTATGGGTTCTCCAACTCCCTCCAAACACAAGCTCCATTCTAAAGTATTCCAAGAGTCCAACTCTTCCTCCTATATTTGACCTCATGTAACACCTCTCCCTTTTCTCTTCATTAAAAACATTCACGCAATTACAAAATAAAAAAAAGATCTTATCTGAAAATAAGCAAGAAAACCCAAAGTATTCACAGTTCTCTGTAAAACGTTTCAAAGATTTTGTTTAAACTAAAACAAGCCATTATAAAAATCTGGTAACATTTTCTTTATGAACAAATCTTAAATGCACGATTGCACACTGTTCTGTTCTTTTCTTACTCTTGAGTCAATGCTGTCCCAAAACTGCAATACTGAACTGCTCCCAAATAAGCCAAAGGAGTATATAAAGCAACTGAGACAACATCATACTATTGATTTCCCTCTCTCTTAAAAGGAAAATTGCATATTTAGGACAAAGTCCCTACACACATGCAAGACTCTGAGAAAGGCTACAAATCCATGGATCACACAATCAGAGGTCAACAACAAGTGAATTGAAATTACTGTAACAGCCACTATTATAATATATTTTATAATGGCATAAATCCTATTTACACATTAATTATAATGCTTATGCTGACTTTCAAGCTTTAATTTAAAATTTCTCCATAATACTGCTTTGTCACACAATTCTTTTATGGTCTATGTGGAATCTTCTCACTGATAAGGAAAAGGGATGACAGAACATACCACAGTTACGGTCAGCATTTTTCTTTATTTTGAAATATATGGAAAAAATACACAATCACCTTATAGCTTGAAATATTTATTTAGAAAAACAGAGAAACTTATAGGGTAAGGTTTTGCCACATACCATGTTGAGATGAAAGCTTTGAAGTTATCCATTTAACATCTACATTAGATTTCTATCACTCCTTTAAAGGGCAAGTTGATTTGCACATTATTAGATGTAATATCATGCATTTCGAGGCATTTTGTCCGAGCTATGTTATTAAACTTTTCTTTTTAAAAATGAAAATAAAATACTAGACAACAGATTATTTTGAATAGGCAAAGTAGGTCTGAAAACCAATTTTTTTATTCCCAGGTAGACTCTTCCTTAAAGTGTAGCCAGTCAGAAGAATGAAATACAGATACTAAGATCAGCTTCAAATGTTCCCAGAGACTTCACAGAACTATCTCTAGGGTAAAAAAAGCCCCTCACATTGGCTGTACAAAACCTAACACTGACAGGCCCCAAGAGATGGAACTTCAAAACACCATTTCAGACAAAGAAAGGCTGCTGTGAAAAGGAAGGAGCATCTGGCTGACTGGCAAACCAAACAGGTCATCAGCACACACCCTGGGGAATGATCTCCCAATTCCTGCCCTACTGGACATGCAGTGCCAGAGTCTCAGGGCAGTTCAGCAGTGCTGGGATAACACAACAGTCCAAAGGTGCAACTCCACCCCTGGAGATCTGCAGGGCTGGACCAGTACCCAGCCTGACCAAACCTGCTCCAAGCCTGAAACTGGACCAGTTGACCTCTCAAGGGCCCTTCCACATGAGATTACTCTGTTCCAATACAAGGGACAAATGTTTCCACTAGTTCTTTATACTGGCCACTGTCTGAACTGTGGGTAGGAATTACCTGAGGGGCTGCTGCTTCCCCCTTCATCAGCGGGAGCTCTGGGGTCACCAGATGAGGTGATGAGGTCCCCAGCAGCTGTTGACAAAAACACAGGCCCACAAGACTTCAGTGGCACTCCTGCTTCTCCCACCTACAGACACCTCTGTCTGGACTGTTAAGGTACAAACCTACTCTGCATCTCTCCTTGTGAAACAAACAGAAAAATTACTGAAGATGGAACTCAAATTTCCATCCTTGGGTATTAACACAGTTGGAAAGGCAACCAACTGGATTGTCTGTAGTCCTCTCCAAAAAATTTAGCAACAATAAATTTTAATACAAAAACAGGCTGACATAAAACTCCACAAGTACAACTTCACATTGCAGAAGTCTTGGGTTGAAAACTCTGCATCACAGAACAGCTCCTGTAATGACCAGTGAACTCATGTAAGTAGTCTTACAGTTCATTAATAAGTGCTGATATTAAAGGCCAAGCTATAATTTGCAAAGTTCTTAATTCCTACATCGTTTATGTAATTCCATGTTGTATCTCCCACAGTCCAGAACGAAAAAAAAAAAAACAAAACCCAAAGTTCAAAATTTCTGTTTCTAGTGACCAACACTTCACTCACAAAAGCAAAAAGCTCAAAGAAGTTATTTTAAAGAAGGCAGAATGTAAAATAATGAAACAAATATGCAATAATAAAACACTAAGGGCAAAATAAATTTATACATAACACAACTATTTTTCAAAATTCTTGCTTTGCTTTAGATGCCAGTTTGCCTTCTGGCTAAAAACACATTCTTCACACACGCTGGGAATGTTGAGGAAAACTAGTCAGCATTCAGAGGATTAATACAGATTTCCAGCTCTGTGCCTTTAGGCTTAATAGTCAGACATCTATTTGTCCTCAGGAGAGGTTAGGGGTTGAAATGGAAATATGCAAACAACTGAATTCTTTGTTAAGATATCAAGAAAAAGCTTGATTTTTGCTGCTGTTTAATAAATCCTTGCAAATTTTATGGACTTATTTAAATGCAGCTTTGTGTCTTACTATTTTGAAGGAGAAAACAATGCAAGGAAACAAACACATTCATTCTGACTAAAATTTGTTCTCTAGAGGAAAAATGACATACACCCTTGACAGCTTATTTACCAAACTCACTAAAGATTTATTGATTTATCAATCAGTGCCTTGAGCATTTGCTTCTCCCCAAGGGAAAATTAACAATTCCAGCTAACCTAATATATTCTATGTATAAACTAAGTGAATGCAAGAATCAATCCTGGCACAGTTTACAACACCCAGTTAAAAAAATGCTGTCCCTTTTGGTGTCTGTAAAATTGAAAGCTATACTAACGAAGAATAAATGCTCATGTTGCTTACAAACATAAAAAATACTTATTAAGACAGTACAATTGAACCCAACAGACATTTTAATTCATTTAAATACTCAGTGGGAGGCAAAAGCATTGGAAAATAAAAAATTGAATGATTTTGCTTCTAGATTAATACTAAGTACTACCACTATTAGTTGCAATACTGACATGCCTCAAAGCAGAGGTATTTCAAGGAGCTACAAATTCTCTTCTACTTCACCTGCAAAAGCATAAGCCTGAAAATTAATTAGTGGTTTGATAATGTCAGGGTAACATAAGAATTGCAGAAGACGAAAATTAAAATCTAGGAGCATTTTGTCATTTAAAATGAAAGCAAAATGTTTTAACACAAATCAAATATACACAACTAAGATGGTGTTAGTGAAAGCAAAACGCAGTAAACACAAGATTTGCTTCTCAGTAAAAAGAAGTAAAAATATCCAAAATATATATTTAAATAAAAATTTGAAGTCCTAAAGAACTGGTGTAGCAGCTCAGTGCATCAGTGTTGAACCTTTGCAGCACCTGGGGTCCCACAGAACCCCCCCTGAGTGAGCAGGTGAAGGACAGACACAGCAATGTCTTCTCTTGAAAACCAGGAACAACATCTCCCCCACACAATAACCCCCTCCCCAACCCACCCCCACACACAGTAACTCATCCCAAAGCCAGGCAGGATTTTCCCTGTGCTGGGGAGGGCAGCTGCAGCCTGGTTGCAGCAGCTTTTGGACAGGAAGCCTTGTCATCACAACCAGGATCTTCCCAGCAAGACACATTCCATAGGAACAGCTGAATCCAACACATAAAACCAACCATGGATTCTTTTAAAGCTTCATGCACGTAATCAATTTAGCAAAAGTTTTATTATAATCACAGAATTTAAGGCTTTGCTAAACATTAAATTGTGCTTTTAGAGAAAAATCCTCAAATATGTCACGATCCCCTTTTTCTAAAATAGAATTAAGTATGAAAATTGCCATCCAATCCCGGAGAGAAAAGGCAGGAATTATTGTAAAAGACTGCCCTCTGGTGTTACAGCAATTCCAAATTCTATTTTCTATTTAAGATCCCCCCCCAACCACCCCGCTGCATTTTTTTATTATTATTTTTTCTTTTTTTACCTGAAAGAACCACCTCCAGGGTCATTCAGCTTGTTTTTCTGATTTGCAGAGACCTGAACACCAAAGCCCCCAGGACTTTTACTGGCTTGTATTGTTGGTGCCTTCCCTACTGTGCCTGAAAAACACCAAGCAATGTTATTATGAGCTGTCTTAGACAATTTACATCAAAGAACCTTCTGTCCAGGAACTAAATTTAACTGTCTGTAAATTGCAAACAAAGGAAGTTATTATTTTTAAAGATTACATGTTGAAGGAGAACAATTTAAAATACAAAATTTATATTAACATTACAGTTTGTTCAATATTTACAGAACAGTGAGGATTCCAAAACTGAAAACCATTGGCCATAACTGGCTATAACATTTGTAATGGCTATAAGTGTGCCTGGAATTGCCAGTAAACCCCTTTTCTGGATAATCTCTACAGAATAAAGAAGCAGAATTTGAAATGTTCTTAATACAGATACTTCAAGTCACAGTCAGGGTACTAAGTCTGCCTTTGACATTTTTTATACAGTAATAGTTCTTTATTGCAGTGAAAAATCTATATATCAGAGCTGAAAATACTATAGGAATTTTAAAATGTTTTGCACTGCATGTAAAAGAAAAAAACACTATTGCCAAATTTGACAGAACCCCTCCCATAAAGGTTGTCTTTTGCTTTCTTATCTTGAAAACAATGATTTAAAAGTAATCCATAACTGTATCTAGACTTTACAGGTCTTGAAGTAGAAGTAAAACTGGGCTTTCTAAATGTGCCAAAGTGTGGTGGACACTGAGTAAATTAAAAAGGGATCTTAATTCCTCTCTGGCATTCGGGAAAATCTAACAAAAAATAATTACACATTTACGTTGCTAATTAGAAAATCACCATATTATTATTATTATTGTTATTGTTATTATTATTATTATTATTATTATTATTATTATTATTTACATAGTATTGGAATGCAAGTCAAAAGAATTGGCAAATGAAACTTTGGAGTAAGCTCTCTTTTACTGCTTAAATACATTTACTCAGGTTCTATTTTGTGTTTCCTTTAATCCCACCTGTGTTTTGACATGTAAAAATAACTCATATGCCTACTTGACTTAAAAGACCTCCCCTTTTTCTTGTATATCATTCCCTTTTACTGAATGTTAGTTACACAGTTTGAGAAGGACATGAGAGTCCTTCCTGCATCTCTCTGACTCAACTGCACATAACTGGCAGGGCATGAACCTCAGGAGAGTTACAGGATTTTTCTTCCATGAATTATAAAAACCTGAAACACAACTGTCCCAACAAATCCTTTTAAGAACACTTCCTGGCCAAAACAAAAGTGTTAGCTTTGAATGGGTCTTGCATTACATTTGTTTTTTAATATTGAAGTCTTCATCAACTCCAACATATGATCTTAAGAGAGAAACTAATTTGACAGTGCGTGTTCAGTTCTCCATCTGTATAAATAAACTGTAGTGTGGACTATCAATGTTAGCAAATACAAAACCAGATTTAGGACTTCAGGCTCAAGCCTGGGGAATAAAAATACTTTGTCATCAGAATATTCAAGGTCCATGAGATGCCACAGACAGCACTAGTTCATGGACCAGACAATTCATTTATCTGTTTCAGATGAACTAATGGAAAGGTTTTCTATTAAGTGAATTGGAAGAAAAGAAATAATACTATAATAAAAATTAGCAGATCTCTGGTTTGTACAATTAGTATCTAGGAGATTAAAAGTGTGTTAACCATGAAAAATACTGCAATGGCAAAATTAAGGCAACAATGGCACTCCTTCAAAATTAATATTCTATTTCTTTGGAGTCAGTATCAATGCTTTGTTTTCTACAGATGATAATTTTTGGTCAAAACCCACCCCCCAAACTCAAAAGGGTACAGCAACAGAGTAGCTACCCTAGTTATGAGGAAAGCAGTATGTCTGCCCTGGATATGGAAGATCTAAGTCTCACTTTCAACCCAAGTATATGGAATTCTACTCAAATGGATCTGGCAAAGTAAATGTAAGGTTTGGGATGACATATAAGTGTTCTGGTTTGAATAAATCACAACTGTGTATAACTAAGCAGTTCGACATAAAATACGGCTACAACAACATCCATTTACATTATGGGGCAGGGCATAGTTTGAGAACCAAAATCACCTGTGGGCCTAGATATTTCATGGGATTGGTAATGACATACAGAGTCTTTCACCACTGGATCCTTGCTCCAAATTTTAAGTAGCATCATCTAGAAAAATAAGCCAAAATTTAGGAGCTTATAAATTCCTAGTTGTATTTCAGCACACGTTGAATGGCTGCAATGAATACCTAATTATTTTATTATTTGCCTCAATTCCTCCATCCATAAGATGCAATTCACCTAATTATTATACTGGTAAGTGCTTCAGTAAAGGAGTGTGAATTTTTCACGCAATAACAACAGTGTCACTTCTCCTGGTGTGGAAGTAATTTTATTTATATAAAAGTCCTTAAAGCCTGCCAATTTTATCTAGACCACTCTTTTAAAAAGCATTACAGTCTGTCCATATGGATGTATTAAAGATCCATTACACCTGGAGATTCACTCCTCTCCAGAAGGAAAATGCAGCACTCTGTGGAGGTCAGCTCAGTTCTGGTGTAAATACCTTTAAAAAGTCACACTCCACAAAATTATACTGCTGTAATTTTTATTTAGACCATATCCTATTCCAGTATATTACCTCATTCTGCAGGAATACCTAGGCCAGTATAAAATATGTGGTGTTTACAGTGAAAGGTTTTAACAATATATCAAAATGAACTGTCTCTGCCAGTGCCACAGCAGCGCCTCACGGCTGCTCACAGGGGCACAGCTCCTCCCAGACATGGGCTGCAGGATCAGGGCTTTGACAAGGGGATGTTTTCTAAATGCCTAGTCTTGTTTGCTTTGTCTGTGTTAATTAAAACAATACAGTGGAGGGCTTAATCAAACTTCTAAACTGGAATAACCTCACCTGAAAGCAGGACTTTGCATAAATTGGCTTTTATGAAACCACTGTCTACCTTAAGCCAAACTGCCAGTTAAGATGCATTGCACTGGCTGACCAAGGGCTATCAAGAATAAATTCATATTCTGAATCCACTGTTTAAAAGACAGATGCCAGTATCATGCAAATTCTTGGCATTCTGTTGACAATCACAACTTGGAGACTGAACAAGCAAAGAAATAGAATCTGCCTTCACTCTCAGACATGTTAGTCAGAAGTGAAAGCTCATCCTATAAGATGCATGGACATGTTATGAACTCAGAACATGAGTATCAGTGCTATCAAATATACACATTTTATGGTGAGTAAATGTATTTCTTCCTAACTTGGAAAAACAGCCTACAGGATTACAGTGACAGCTTGGTCTCCATGTCCATTCAACCTTTGGATTCCCCTAAGAGAACAGAGCAAGTAAAACATCAACTGCTATTAAATGGTTTTGATGTTTTTCCCAAGGAGAACAGAAATGACCAAGCAATGAAGGCAAATAGGCAGCAATAGCTTTTATGTGTATTGAAACTCCTGTGGTTCCTGATTCAATACCTGAAGATGACAAGCTCTGTATTCCATTACAAACCCTCAATCAGGTAAGTGCCCACATCCAATAAGATATTCTCACACATACTCAGGAAAAATAAAAACCAAGCCTAACAGGTTTAGTGGTAGAAAGAAACAAATGGATATTTATCAGAAAGCAAGGAGGCTTTGAGAATCCTTTCAAAAAGTGGGATATATCAGCCAGACAGGAATCCACCTGTGCACAGACAGATGAGGAAGCTGTGTACAAACCACATGCCATGGCTAATTATGGCATGTCAGGCTGCTGGAAGTCAGTCTCTGACCTCACCAAAAAGGGAATATACTGCCAGGGGTCAAAAATAAACCATGAGGCCTGAGAAATTTCTCTAGGACTCCTCCCTTGACCTCAGTAGCTGCAGAGACAGTGACTATCATGTTCTGCTTCAGGAGTAAAAATTAGAAGTAGGATGATTAAGTCGAGGTAGGAAAAATGAAGAATTGCTTTCTTGGCCCAGAGTTACAGCTTAGGACAGCAAGAGCCAGGTTCCTGACCTTTTTTAGAACTTTCCATTAAAAACTGCTAAGGAGCTAAACATGTGAGAGTTTAGTCCTAAGGTTGTTTCAAAACATTTCACTGCGTTGGTCTGAAACACCTTGAAACTGCACATGGAGACATGCACTCTTCAGGCAGCAGGAGGTAAAAAATCAATGTCAACAATGTTGCCAAGGTCAACACTGCACGTTTTTCCATGCCACTCGTTTGTAATGACAACGAAATTCATACAAAGGTAACAATCTCACTAAAACATTTAAGCCCATACCTTGTGGTCTAATGGTCTGAGTTATTACCACTGGCATCCTAATCTGGGTAGTCTGGCAAGCAGGGGTTCGTTTCACAGTTTGAGCAGATGTTGACTGGATAATCTGCTATTATTAAAGAAAAGTATACTTATATTATACTCTTTATACACAAACACACACAACGTAAATACACTAATACCTGTAATTACCAATACAAGCATGTGGATCTCTAAAAGCACAACCAGCTGGTGACAAAAGTCATATTCATGTAATGCATGTGGTTGTGTGTGTGTGTATATACCTATTTTGCCATTATTCCTTAAAAAAAAAAAATCAAATAATATCCGACACAAATGTCATATGTCACAACCTTCATCAAAAATATATTTCAGTCATAAGGTTAATATTAAAGTTTAGACTTTTGTCTTCAGAAGTTTTACAAGGAAGAAAAGCAATTTTGTAGAAGAAAACGCTGCGTTAATTTTAGTGGTATCCACCTACAAACATTAGGCCTTGCACTATATATCTACACTTTTTAAAGAAAACATATACTAAAAATAAATTCAAAAATATTATGGGCTTCAAAGTCAGGTATACTCAAGAAAGACAACCAAGTTTTGTGCTGATCATATACTACTAATCTTTTAAATATTAACTGGATATTCTCAAGGTTTCTCTTATTACTCATTCAAGTTTTGAAGTCCTTCCCCAAAAACTGAAACTGGGTTAGAAACTTAAAATCTGACCCATAAACACATCAAATAAAAAGGAAAACACCTGCAAGGGTCATGTCTAAGCAACAGCAAAATGTACATTCACATGATCAGGGACCAGGTAGCACAGATGCAATGAACAGAAGATTCAAAAAGATGTGTGAATGCTGCAGAGCTGTAAAAAAATCCATAAATCAGCTTTGAACATGAAACACAGGCAAATAGCTACGAATAAGATTATAACCACAACTTGGGAATTACAACTTCAGGAGCCACAGTCACAACTATCATCCTCCCACTGCACCCTGTGTCCAGGGCTCCTCAATCCCAGTTCAGCCCCATTCCCTCCTGGAATTCAGCACCACACTGCACAGCACTGTGTGAAGTGAATGAGAACCACTGCAATTCCATTCAGCATTATCCCTACAAAGTGTATCTAAAACCAGATTGTTTAAATGATTGGCCACACCTCTGACTTCAAAGTAACCTCTGGAGAAAAGGAAAGGAGAAACAGCACTTTCAAATGAGATGCAAAAGCAGAGAATGGAGAGGTTACAGAGCAAAGAGGAAATTGTTCCATCAGCTGGAATCAGGGTTCCCAAACTGGAAGGGAGAGAGGTGAAAACTCCAAACAAGAACAGAGGGATGAGGGACCTGCAATGCATTCTGGAGAAAAAACAAGCAGGGCCATTCTGAAGTTATGAAACTGCATTTTGCACATCCTAAAATAGTAGAAGTTGCAAAGTCGTAATGAACCTGTGGAAGCAGAAGAATTAGCAACAGTCACCTTGCAGAAAGAGAAAAGGGAAAAAAGATTAAGGATTCAGCTTTAACTATGGACACTGAAGGAAAATGGAGCATTTGTAGGGAGCACAGAGATGGAGCAAATGGCTGTAAACTGACTCAGTCAAGACAGGCAGTGAATGAACAGTCCCACTCGGAGAGGAAAGAACAAATCAGCTACCATGCTTCAAACCAGGAAAGACACAGAGCTGGTAAGTGAAAATGAGGGGGAAAGTCAAATGCAACTGCATTTTGATGCACAGGAGACATGTACAAGTGTATTTTTAGTAAAAAGACAGAAGAGTCCATGGGGAAAAAAAACCTACATTGGTATGAAAAAGAAGGAGAATGTTGCCACTTTTACCATAATTTATTGGATGAGTTTTCAGAGCATAGTGAAGAGAAGCCACTGTGCCTTACCAGGCCAGAAAGGAGATGTGTGTGACCTGTGGACAGAGTTACTACCTGGTAGTACAGCAATCTTCTGGGATCAGAGTTTTTTATTCTCCCTGTGAAGCAAAGTACTTCTACAGATCAGAACCAAATTCTGTTTCACCTGATTAATATTTTCATGTGAATTCCCTAAAAAATGAGCCACTAACACCATTAAAGACAGGACAGTATTCAACCATTTAAGAAGACATAAATAATGGCAACATTTTCTTTACTATCAAATACATTCAAAAAAGTGTCCTGTAGCAAGTACTGCACTAGGACTTCAACGTATGTACAAGTGCTGAAAGTGTAGAAAATTGAGAAATGAGCTTTCCAAAGGGCAGAGACCAAAATCAACATCATCAATTCCATACAGAAACCAATCAGCAATCACATACTCTCTCAAAGGAACAGCTGCATCAGACCTCAGAGCAGCATTTTACACTAACTTAAATCCCAGCTTCTATGCTGGAGTTTTGAGATACATTTCAGCACAGACACAATTTTCAGCTCTGGAAGTCATTAAGGAATTAACATTAGCAATTTGTTTCTGAAACAGAATGTGGAACCTCCTTTGCAGGCAAACAAGGGACATCGTAAAAACTGATGAATCAGAGCAAACTGATCCTGCATCAAAATTTATAAACAATCCAAATCATGCCTCATCTATTAAGATAATTCAAACTGTTCTAATCCTCTTGCCTATTTTCCCAAAATCATAAACATTACTATTATGTCCTTAATTTGGCCTGCAAGTTGTAGACAATGAACAAGTGTATTGCCAAGCTAGGCTGGGAGATGATTAGCTTAATCAAATTAATTCATATTTCTCACCGCCTAAAAATTCAGACAAGGAGTGTATCCCATCTCATGTGATCCATCCATATGCTGAATCAATACTGAATCCCAAATGATCAGTTTGTAAGCACCAATTTACTGACCCAGACTGACAGAGCAGACACAGAAGTGGATGTTTTAGTACACTGAGGTTATCAAGACATTACTTCAGCCTTCAAAAAAGGGGAGATCTTACTGCTGTTTGCAACTACCTATGGGAAGAGAAGACAGAGCCAGACTCTCTCAGATGCGCAGAGCAGAAGGATGTAACACAAAGGACATAAGGTGGAATACAGGAAATTCCAACTTAATAGAAGAAAAAAAAAATCACCATGAGGGTGGGCAAGCTCTGGACCAGGTTGCCTGGAGAGGTTGTGTAATTTCTTCTTGAAGACACTCAAAACATGACTGGTCACCCAGGAGACATCCTAATCTGTGAGCAGGAGGCTGGATGAGACACCTCCAGAAGTCCTTTCCAACCTTTTACCACTAGTCCTTAATCATATCATCAATGATTTAATAAAAGTGCTGAGTCAGAAAAGGTAACAAGACAGGATATAAAAGTCATCAAAGTTGACAGAAACTGTTCATCATTCTCACTCCATTAAAAAGGGAAGCATTTACACCACTGAGGACAGCAAGCACAACAGAACAAGAACAACAAAGGCACTGAAAATAGAAAAGACAGAATGTGATTTAGTCATTGCCTAGATTTGATAATGAGTTTGGAAAATAGCAAAATTACCAAACAAAATTATGATCAAGAGAGTGTTGAGACAGCAAGTACTGTCATACACCAGCTTATCAGTCAAAATTTGAAGAATCATCTCCTAGGCTGCTGTACTTTGGAGCTCTTCAAGAAACACACCAAAGCAGGAGAGTCATGGCATTGTTCTCCAAGTGCAATACATGAACAGTTACTTCAATTTTTCTTCTATAAAATAACACTTTTCTGCAAAATAAGATGTACATTTCTCACAACAGAAAGTATTCCCCCTCTGGTTTTATGTCATCTCTGCACATCTCCCCTTGCCATCTTTCCACTCCACTAGTCACACTTTGATTCACCCTTTGTCTGCTCCTCCAGAGCAGTTCCTTCTCTCACCTCCTGAACGCTTCAGACTCCTACCCTGTCCTTCTCTAAAGCTGAATTTATTCTCACAGATGAAAAAAAGGGATGTTTGTAAAAGGTGCTCTCCACAAAGCAAGCAGACCCGCAAAGACAAAAAAAAGGATATTTAACAGTCACACTACTGATAAGCAGAATAACAAAGAGGGGACAGTTGAAATACACAGTTTTCTTAAAGGCCTTCTTCAAAAATTGTCGATTCAATAACTATATGAGACTAAAGTAATGGTGCTCTCTGGTCCTAATCTCAAGCCAGAAGGTGAAGATCATTCCATGACAGGTGTGAATCTTGTACTGTGTCAGTTATTGCAGCACAGAGAACAAATTACAGACATGAACACAGACCGATAATTAACAACACAAATAACCAACAAATACAGACTGAGAAAGAATCCAGCCAAAGCACACAGAACGTACAGAAGCAGAAAGACTGATAACTTCTGTTCTCTTTCTCATGCAAGAAATACAAAATAAAATGAAAGCCACTACCTACAAACCATTGAATGTTAAAGTCCTTTATGACGATTAGATTAGAACTCATTGCTGAAGTTTCTGAGGACACGGATTTTGCCAATCTCCTGTCCCAGTGCACAAGGTCCCAACAATATGCCTCCCTTTTACCTGACAACAGCTGCAAACCCAGCCTGACTCAATTCACATAAAATCATACTTGGCAATAAAAACATCTGATCCAAAAGCTTAAACCTATCAAATACCACAATAAAGACAAAAGCAGAGGAAACAGAAGCTTCTGCGAAGAATGGAAAATAAAAATAAATTTGAAAAATATATCCTTTACCAAGCATTTCTTTTCCTCTCAATTAAGTTAAAAAAACATTGTGAAAGGAAGAAACAAGACACTTGTAAACATATAAAATTCAGAATGGCTGTGGTCTGATATGACATTTATCTTCACTCATGAGTAAACACTTGCTAACTCACTTGTGGCTATGCCACTTGTGATTTATCAGTCTACTCACTCCTGAAGATAAATGTCATATCAAACCTCAGCTATCATGTAATCTGGCAGCATTAACTTACAATGTTCATGCTTTTATGGGCCTAGAATTCATATTTACCATTGTTCACAGTGCTGTATCAGTAGCAGCTACAATTTTTCAACAGTGCCTCAAAATCTGCATAAGCAGTTATTTTTCCTCCCAAATAAAAAAGACTGACTTTTTAAAAACTCAGCACGTAAATTTTAATGTTAATATGACAACAATACTGTTCCATTGGGTATATGTTTTCAACAAAGCAATGAAGAAAAATAAAACAGAAGCCACCAGATCACTTGTCTCACCTGCTCCCCAATTTCATATACAGTTCTTCCTACAGTTTGTCAAATGGTCTATTTTTGAATGTTTTCAATTATGGCTTTTTCGTCACTGTCTTTGGGAGCCTGATCTACCATCTAATATTCTGTCTTACTCTAAGGATATTTCGCCTTATATCCTACTTAAATCCTACTTCATTTAATTATATGCTGTTGTTCATTTTTATACTGTATTGGTATGCTCCAAATAATGGTCTTTTATTCTTCCTCTTAGTCAGTGTTTGACCAAGTGAGATGTGTTTAATTCTCTCAAGCTTTTTTTTTAGTCTTTGCTTTTAATCCTGCTCTTTTGTTACTGGTTCCAAACAGCAACCAGTGACAATATTCTCCTTTTATTAAGGTATAGTCCACAAAATTCTGACGGTGAAGTGCATGACAACAACTCAGAAAACTACTGGGCTGTATTTCAAACAGGCACAGAATTTGTCAAGTATAGGCTTTGTTCCTGTTAATGGATCCCAGACGTCTGCTGCTCAACAGTCATTTTTATTTAGATTTTATTGTACACCAAATTCCAAGTCAGTGACTAGATCTTTATTAGTTCATTAATAGAAACTACTCCTTTTATCCAAACAGCCATCTATTACTCTTACATTTCTAAGCTGCTTTGCACATAGGACAAAGAGAAAATGATTTCCTATGAATCACTAAAATGTGGACACATTACAGCCATTCATGAACAGAAAACTGATGCCAGGAAAAGCTTCTGCAGAGAATTAAAAAGCAAAGCAGAACATCCCCATACAACAAAATGCTTATTCTGCTGCTGTATCTTGTTTCCAAATTCCATTGCTCCATCTCACCTTTTGGGAGACTCCAACCACTATGAAAGTCCCTAGAAAAGTGTTAGTAAATGTTTGAGCAAATCCTGTTCTAAAGGAGCTCAGAAGATGGCAGAGTATCCCCTCTGGACACTGTGCCCAATTTGCTGCAGCAGTAACAGTCCAGATGTATTTCTAGACATCCTTCCTAATCCTAGATCTGCACGAGTCTTTATACAGCTTGGCAGATAATTAAACTTGTTTTAATTAAGATGGATCACTGATTTTCTTACTGGTTTTCCTTATCACTCACATTTAGTAATTGGCTTTAACATCCAGGAGTATTCTCCTCATGATGCAGCCAGTGTCAACACAACATGTAAAGTGCTAATCCATCTCCATTACTCATCAATCCACTTACAACTTCAAAACATTTAATAAACAGCATCTCTTTTATTCCTGCAAATTGTACCTGCTGTAACACCCAGAACAAGACAGGAAATGTAGAGCACATGGACCCTAAGAATGGCAATTTAGACCAACTTTGAACATTGCACTTAGAACAATTAAAAAAATTGATTGCTGGCTTATCTCATTAGTGTCTCATCAATAAAATAGTAGCCTAAGATTATTCCCCTTTTCTCTATCTAGAAGTAGCACTATCTAGCTCTTAAAAGCATTGCTTTTTTGTAGCTTAGAACATGATTCCAATACTTTACAAAATGAATAAAAAATAGCCTTGTCTTCCATCTGCACTAACACTTCACATTTCAAAGCCTTTGTGCAAGCTATGCTGCATGCTGACAGTGTACACAGAATTTCCATGCAGTAAGATACCTCAATACCACTGGAGGAAGTCTCACCTCATCCGACCCCTTTGTGAAACAGAAATGTCAAAAGAAAGGAACAGCTAACAGATTCTCCACGTTTTAAAGGAAACTAGACTACTGTAAACTGGTTGGTATGAAAAGATCTCTATTCTAAAACAGGCTTGCCCTTCTGCAGCTGGACAGTTTGCAAAGCCAGCTGGAACTCTCTCCAGTGAGCTTCAGGCTTGGAAAATCTGGAGCTCAGCCAGTTTCCTCCATCAGTGCTGGCCACCCCCAGGCAAGGCAGCTGCAATCCTTCTCTTCCGGACAAGATGGGCAGGAGCTCTGGGCTCTGCTCTGATTTCAGGGAGCACTCAGGGCTGGGAGCACTGGGAGCACTGGCACTACAAAGAATCACTACCTAGGAACAACCCCTACTGTGATATGGAGCTGCTGCTGGGTTCTCTGCTGAGCACCTGAGTTGGTTGTTGTGCTATCTAAGATTTTTTGATGCAGTAACTCTCACTCTTTAATGCTGCTTTTGTCTGTATAGAACTACTATGAGGGTCATTAAGTGCCTGGTTAATGTAATGTTTGGTTCTATTAATTAATGACTGATAAATTTAAAGCAAATATGAAAAGATAGTTTTACACTAAAGCCAATAAATTACAATTTTTAATGTCCTATCTCTAAGTATTTTCTAGAAGAGGAACAGCAAGCATAGTTTTGCTCCGCGTGGTTTGTGACCTTTAGAAAATGTAGCAGTCATTTCATGTACCCAGTAAATGAAAATTCAGCCCTAGACCTGTGACCTCCTTACAGACACAAAAGCAGCCTGTTTTGCCCCTCAGATCAATCTCCACAATGTGTTACTTGAGCACTTTTGAGCTCCCTCCTGTGACACAGGTATGTTGAATAAGCTGACACTGTTCATCTCTACTCAGGTTAACACAACTGCTTGCTTTGAGCACCCACTGACATGAGACAGACGGTGTCTCTCCCAGAAACACAGCTTTCTTCCATTCACAAAATATTCCACAAGAACTACAATCCTAAGACTAAGAATTCCTGTTGCCTTACACGTGTTTGTTGTACACCAGTGCTTCTCAAAAGGTGGGGTGCAACTGCCAGATGGGCACAGGAGTGTTTAGGTGGGTTGCACAACACTGGAAAAAGCCATGTTACCTTAGTCTTAAGACTGTGGCATAAAGCCAGACTTACTGGCCATGGCTGTTTATACTTGCAAGCAATCTGTCAGCTGCTGTCAGAAATTTGCTTTCCCTGGACAGGGAGTAATTTTTACACCCACTGTAATTACCACCAGTTCCTCCTCCTCTACTTTGAAGCACCAAAGCTCTTGTCCATTCAATCTTATGAAATATGGCCAAATCAAAAAGATGCCACAAAAAGCGTGAGAAACACTTTTCTAATCAATCCAACAATCCAGAATGGTTGGGGAAAACCCATATTAAAACAAGAAAGAATGCAAGTGGCTGAACAGAGAGCAGTGAGGTAGGGTGAGAAACACCCACCTCTCGTGTGCATTGCAACAGGCAGAGTCAGAAATCTCAGCATCCATGAAAACTGTGTTCACTAAAGGACTATAAAACTATATCAATTTCATTTTAAAGTTAGTAATTTAACCACTAGAAAGTATTTGTAAGGTTCAAGATACGGCTCAGATGGCTCAGACATTTTCAGACTGTGCACTGCTACTTTTAAATTAAAGCAAAAGAACCATTCTCTCTCCCCACACCCTACAAATTATTTATATCCTTTATAGAGCATATAGACTCAAGGATAGATCACTGGAAGGTTTTACATAATCATATATGCATTTCTTAACCTTGATAATATAAATTTTTACCAACTTGATACACCTTCTGGAACCTGCCAATTTGGTTTCGAAACCACAGTCAAGTCCTTTACTCATACAAACACAGAAACCACAGACAAAGAAACTCTCTCATCTTTGCTTGAAGGATGATAACACCTGTGTAAACTCAAGGCCTTGTAAAGATCCTCAACATATTTTAATTAAAGCTGTAAACACACACACAAGCTCCTATATAAATTCAGTTGCCTTATTGACAGTGTCTTTGAAATTAATTAATCTAAATACATAATACTCCACTATGCACAACAAAGATACATTTCAGTCAGTAACAAAGAATGGCATTATTTCTAAACAGAACATCCTGGTACAGCTATTCTTCTACAAGATTTTATAACAATATGAAGAAGAGTTTAAAATGAGAGAGTTAATTTTAATGCAGACTAATCTAGGCAAAGCAGCATATCTAATGACACACAAGAGGATAATGTTTAGTAAGTCTTGAGAAGCTTTCTGTTCTACATTTGTAATTCCCTCGAATTCCACTGTGCTCATACAACGATCACTGGATTGCAGACAAGAAGGCCAAGAGTGCACTTCCTTACATTTAAACTGTTAATAATGTTTACTAATGGTTGAGCACACATGTGAAATGAAACAAAATGAGGTACTATTATGTATGACAGAATATGGTACAAACAGAAAAGTATTTTCCCAAACAAGTTGCAATAAAAATAACACTGAAAACTGCTATACAGTTCACTAAGAAATTCTCTTTTATACTACAGTACCTACCAGTTGAGAACTCTGATTTGACTGTACCACCTTAACCTGAGGAGGCTGCACTGTATTTGATACAGAGACTGTGCAAATGTTGTTTGGTTGCCTTATTCCTATTGTCTGTGTGGTGACAACAGAGGAAATGCTTCCCGAGGCAGACTGAGGTATCACTTGTGAGAGCTTGCTTTGTTGGAGTGGCTGCTGAGACGGTTGTCCTTGCAAAACCAAATGCTGACTATTCAGTAAAGATTGTCTCAAGGCAGGTAGACTTTTCTAGAAACAGAAGAAAGTTTATGAAATAGCAAACTTAGCAGGTTGGCAAAAAATATTTTGAAATTTTGCTATAAACACAATTAAAAGATGTAACTTTTTTTCCAGCTATTACTATCGGTCTATTCAAACAGAAATAAGATTGAACATATTTTGTAGGAGAGAAAGTTCAGTTTACATTTTTAATAAGCTCACAATTTGGATTTTGCAATCCTGTAGACTTTCACGTGCCCTAAATTCCACTGCAGCAGTAAAATATAACATTCTCCTTCTCCAGACTATCTAGAACTTGTAGCTTAGGCCTTTGGAAGGGCAAAATTGGAACTAGAAAAGGCTGAACTGTAGGAAGAACCCTATTCCCACTGCACGTTAGAAGAAGTAAGCTGCACTTTCCTTCTCCTGACATGCCTCCAGTACCTAGAACGAGATGACTTAACTGTTGATGCCCTGCAGCAAGAGCTTTTGACTGTATTATTGCAGACCTAGGGTACTCTGACTGGATTAGAAAAGTGTACTATGGTATCCTTCATGTTCAAACCACTTCAACGAAAAAATACAGTTCTAAAAGGCTGTACTGTACCTTCATGAACAGACTTTTTACTTTTTAAGTGGCAGCAGTGTTCTTTTGAAGTGCTCCCCCAGGCAGCTGTAGAATGCAACAGTGTTTAGCCCAAGCTACAGTTCTTTCTAAAGTTATAATATTTATTTAAAAACTTAATGCCTGTTGCCAAGAAAGGACTTCAAAGAAAGGAAACAAGTCAAAACTTATCCTGAGGCCAGAAGTGACTGCAGTGACTGCAGGAAAAGGCACAAATAAGGGTTAATGATAACTTGAAAACACAGAAGCAGAGGGAGAAAGTGCTGAAGAAAAGTTGCAGGAGAAAAGAGGAAATCTGCCCTAAACAGAGGAGTTTTGAACTAGATGAAAAATGCTTTAAAAATTGTATTTGTGGTTTTGTTGGGACATAATTAAACATGTTTTGTATGTTTGACTATTATCTTGCAGTTATTGTAGCTAATGTATAGAACCAATTAAAAGTTAAATTTATCCCCTTATATACTAACTTAGGACCCAACAATGAATCCACTTGGTATCACATCAGAAAGTATACTACTGATTAGCTCCAGATTACAAGCAGGATCATCTAATCAATTATTTCAACACCATTATCCATTTTAGTTTTTCATAATCATTGTTACATACAGATTGCACGTTAACAATGACCCAAACATAGATAACAAAAACAATATGGAAAAGTTTATTAAATTGCTTGAAGCATTTTATAGAAATAACTTGTGACTCCTCCAAATGTGAATGCTGTACTTCTTCCCAAAAATTAACCTACTATCACAGAAAAGTGTACTTTTTATAAAAGTAAAGGATGACTACAGAATAGCCAATGGGTGATTTCCAAACTAGAGAGTAACTGCTTTTTTTATATAAATCTAATTACTGCAACGTTCTAGGTCAGAGCTGCTCGAGCCATGAACTCCAGATCAGCTCTGGATGACAAACACATTGTTCTTAAACCTAACCCAAGGTCCCAAACACGAGGTCTTCCCTCCTGTAGGAAATCCCTGGTTCTCGCTGTTCTCCCACCCTGCCAGGGAGCAGCACCTGGTTGGAACAACTGAGAGGGAGCCTGCAAGGGACTGCCAGCCAAGAGAATTGTGGCAGAAGTGGGCAGCATGAAGTAAAAAGGGAGTAGTCCTGCTCTAGGCAGGACTAGCTAACACCACTTAAAAAGGATATTCTAAGACTCAGTGTATAGAAATTTGCATTGACATAGATTTCTCCAAACAATATCCACATTACCTTAAGGAAAGGGACAAGGTATGGCTGAGGAGATGATTTGAGTTCCGTTTGGAGGCGGCCTGTAAATTCTTCTGGATCGATCTTTGCATCCTTCGGGGGAAGGAAAAAAAAAAGGCATCAACAACTCAGTTCAGTTGGTTGGTTGTTTCTTTCCCAGCTAATATATACACATATATCTCTAGCTAAATAGGCTGCCATATCAAGCAGAACTTTTGGAGCTGAAGTCCCTCAACTCCTCTCTAAGATCCTTCTGTCAAGAGCCAGTTCATACAAGAGCCAACTCAACACTCAGGGAGTTCCCCTGGGATGCACAGTTTCAGACACAAGAAGACCCCAAATACACCCAAGTATCTTTTGGGATTCCATTCTTTTGCTAACATTTACAGAGTGATTTCTTTTTTAAAATTAAAAGAAAACAAAAACAACAGGATAGCAAAGTAATCTTACAAACTATTGTAACATCTGTCAGCCCTTGTAATAAGAAAATATTAAATACTTAATTCCAAAACCAATTCTGATGGTACAATTTAACTTAGTAGAATGTGTATATATAAAACTATACATGCAACAGGCACATATAAAAAGTACACATATAAGTAAATACAAAATTGTCAGCTGTATGAATTTGTGTATATACTCACAAAATATACACTTATAAATATATCAAATACATAATCAGTACTTTATTTTGTAGTTAATACAGGAGAACTCTATAACTCAGGTGCATTTTATAATATTTCTAGAGTATCACTAGTTACAACCTCAGGTTGTAATAAAACCATTCATTAGCTTTCCTGGACTGATACAGAACAAGAGAAAAAAACAAAAAAAGCAAACAAGCTTCAATAACTGTATTTATTACATATGCATGTTGCTACTTTGCTTAAAATACAGACAGTAGCTACCTTTAGTTATTTAATTGTTCCAAGTTTGCAAAAGATAACATGAGTTTTTACTGTAACCACTGCACATGATTGTTGAATGGCTCACACTTGAAAACAGTCTTAGGCTTGTCTAAAATATACAGGTTTCTCTGGCAATGAATTCAAAGAAATATATACCACCTGCTTTTAAATCCAACCTCTTCACTGACTATATTTCATTTCTTTTTAAGCAGCTTGACCATTTTTCCAGTTCCACAGTAACATCTGTCTGGAACTCATTTATACAATTCATTGAAACCTCTGTTTTACTGGAGACTGCAGTAAGTCCAGACCCAGCAGCTCAGCAAAATACTTCTCCTTCAGTCCTAGAAACTCTAACCCACATTGTGAAGGCCCATACCTTAAGACAATTAACAGCTTCTCACTGTTTCAGAAAAGACTGTGGTTTGGAGGAAAAGAAACTTAATGAATCCTCAAGGAAAAATCTTTTTACTCTGCTTTTCTAAAGAAATGGCCAAAATATTACCTACCAAAACAAGAGTGGTTTTGACAAACACATACTAATTACTTTGCTGCAGTTCCCCTTTCAGAAACTAAGAGAAAGTCTGCCTTGAACAGATTCTTGAAGACATGTAGCATACAGAATACTCACATTTTGATGTAGTTCAACTCCTTTCACTTTCATTACAGCCCAAAGAATTAAGATCACAGCAATAGTTTTCAGCCTATGTAAACAACAAGCTTAACAGATAACTGACAAAAGAAAAGATAACTAAATATTTACCAACAAATCTTGAACCAGAGCTTTCACATTGCGGGACGTTTCTGGAGATGGTGAATTATGAGAAGCAAGTTTTATAAGGGTAGCTAAAAAGTTTTTGCATTTTTTCACATTCTCTTGCATTTCCTGCAAAAGCCAAAGAAAACAAATATCAGATCCATGCTATTTTGCATCAGGATCAATGCATGCTCTGACCACCACATATAAGGAAAATGATGACACTTTTTAAAATTCAGACAGGGCATATGTGAAATAAATCTGCAGCTGTTTTGCTATGGTTGCCAGTTACCTGATATTTTCTTCACTTCTTCACGTAACTGAACATCACAGCTCGCAAATAAAAACAACAAAAAGCAATGAAAGAATGTATTTTATATTTTACAGGTTGCTTTGATAAAAATAACCTTAAATATGAGAAGTAACACAACAATTTGTTGGAGATGCATTCCCCTTTGAGATGCCCACTACGCAATGTACAAACGTTCCCCAAGCTATCCTAATTTGTTCAATTATTTATTCAGTATATTTTTGTACAAATCAGCTGCAGCAGTAAAATCAAATCAGAAATCAGTCTTCAAATATCATCATATCTAAGCTTTTCTCATCAGCAGGGAAACAAGCCATTATTTTTATATGGTGTAATTGCTCCAAAAACCAGAAACATCACTTTAGTGTCACCATAGTTCTGAGGCCCAGCAACAGGATAATAATGAAGTCCACAGACTAAAAGGCCTGATTGTTGAGTCTACAGAAACAGTTCTTTCCCTACTGACACATCCATGGCAGGATGGGGAAAGCCAACCACAAGTGTTCTTCCTCCCTCTTGGAATTTGCCTCCCATTTAGCTGAAATGACGGGAAGGGTTTTCTTGCTTGTCAAGCATTTGTTCCATCACAGGATGTGTGCTTGGAGGAACAAAAAGCTCTTCCTGCTTCTGAACAGACCCCAGAAGTTCCCAAAGCACTAAAAAAACCACGTGTGCAGTATTTTACCACTTGCCTGTGACACAACTGTGGTTCCAGGCACAGGGGAGCTGGGGATGACCAGGGGCTGTGCTGGGACTGGTGCTGCCGTGTGAGGCGGCAGCGGCAGCCGAGGCTGACCCTGGCTTTGTGCTGAACCTTGACTCTGCCCACCAGTGATCACTGTAGGTTGTTGAGAAGCTGAAGTTCCAGTTGCTACTGTTGTCTTGAACAGATTTTGAGTGCTTGTCGTAGCTACTGATACCTATTGACATTTCAGATTGAAAAAACAGGTAAGTATCTTCTTTTAATTATTTTACTCAGCCTTAAAGTTCCTGAAAGGAAAAACTCGTTTCCTTTCAAACACAGCCTTACTGACAAAATAAAACCACTGATTTCATCTATTTATTATAATCCTAATTTTGACACCCTTTCCTGACCAGTGCAAGTCCTCATTTAAAGTCCCTTTTATTACAAAAATAAACGTACCACTATAAAATTAGTTGCCAGCACCCAAACCTTTAAGATTACTATGATGGCGTAACTTCAGTAACTCAACTTTCTGTAGATTTGGCCCTTAATATGAACAAGTCCGTTCCCAATGATCTGTGGCTGTGCCATCAGGTTTACAACCATCCATCCCACAGTTACAGTGACAGCCCAGATCCAGAGGACACAAATGCACTAAGGCAACTTCCCAGGCCAGTCTGAGCCAGCACTTTTGCACCAGTGCACAGCCCTGGTGAACAAAGCTGTCCTGGGCCAGCTGGGCACATGCAGACTCCACCTCAGTGCAGCATGTCCACCACTGAAACAGGATCTACAACTCCACCTCATTGGAGTTTTTTCTTTAAAAAATCTCAATCTTGTTATCATCTAGGAAATGGTAGAAAATAAGGTCTAGGCTATCCCTCAGGACCTGCATAATAAAGTCTGACTGTACATTCATTATTAATTTCTGGGATTACACTGGCAATAAAAGGAAAGATATGAACATTAAAATTCACTTTACAAAAACCCATGTAAATCATAGAATCATGGAATGGTTTGGGTTGGAAGGGAACTTAAAGTTCACCTTGTTCCACTCCCTGGAAATTTTTAAATGACTGTCAGAAAAATGCTACACAAATGAGCTTCTATTATTGTCCATCAGTGTTAAACATTCATTTCTTCTCTCAAAATGAAATTCCAGAGAACAGTGTTGCAAAATCATGGAATAGGTGGGAAAGAAACTTAAAGCTCATCTCATTCCACCCCCTGCCATGGGCAGGGACACCTCCCACTAGCCCAGGTTGCTCCAAGCCCCATCCAACCTGGCCTTGGACACTTCCAGGGATGGGGTAGCCACAGTTTCTCTGGGCAGCCTGTGCCAGGGCCTGCCCACCCTCCCAGGGAAGGATTTCATCCGTAGATCAAACCTAAACTCCCGCTCCTTCAGTCCAAACTCGTTACTCCTTGTCCTACCACTTTTTGTACCCCCGGAAGGTTCCTGGCTGTATGCCACCCGGCCCTGCCCCTTTTCCTGCCCCGTGTGCAGCAGAGTGTCCCCTCTCACCGTGGTGTGTGCCAGCACAGCCCCCCCTGGCAGCGTGGCAGCAGCGCTGGCGGGCGCAGCCGGCGGTGGCACCACCTTGGCCTGCACGGGCAGCCCCAGGCGCACGGCGGGCGCGGCCACGGACGTGGGCTGCTGAGAGAGGAAAAACAGCCGTTTATTTTATTCCCTCTCCTCGGGAGCTTGATCTCCAAGGCTCTTTAATAAGAGTGATTATAAGAATAATCATTATTAGCGCTGAAAAGAACACAAAAATCCAAACCCAGTAATGTGTTCTTAAATATATGTTCACAAATAATGGAGAAATGAGCTCTTACATTCAATAAGTTTTTAGTATTTCTCCTAAAAGCTATTGCTCGTACAGCTATAAGGAAAATATTAGAAAAAACAGATGTGACCTGCAAAAAATTGATGTATTAGTTCAGTTGTCATATTTACAAGTCAGTATTCATCAATATTTGAGTTCATCATTGCCAGTAACACGTATTGGTCCCCTTGGTATTTACTGGCCTGTTCCACTGCTTTTTCTTGAAGAAAATTAATATGGAGAGAAAATTCAGAGAGCAGAAAAACATATTGAAAATAATTTCAGATTGAATTATATGGAAACTAACTTGCATAGAAATGAAGTCAAAGCATTTGGAGAACCTTTGTCAGAGAACAAACGCTCTGTAACCAGACAGCGACTGGAATGTGAAGTGCAGACAAAGGAGAACGACTGACTTACAGGCTTTCACTCAGTACCACACTCTACAACTCAGGAAATTATCTCACGCAGCAAACATATTAATTATTTTTTAATTTCCTTTAATCATATAAAAGGATAAGATTTAGAAACAAAAGACGTCTCAAGAAAAGTTATTTTATTCTACAGGAATGTAAATACCATTATGAAAGAAATACATCCCACAATATGGCAACAATGACAAAGAACCACTTCTTATTAAAAAGGGAGACCACACTGGTGTCTTATAACTTGCATTTATTAAGATTTACATTCAAACACACACTTAGAAAAGACAAATTTTCTAAGTGGATGGAGTAATAAATCATGGACAATATTGTTTCTCACAAGAGAAAACTAATTTTCCTTGATTTACATTTTAATTTGTATGTCTCTATAATTAATATTTTTATAAAGAATTGCTTATTTTACATTCTTACACTGCCTACTAAACCTACATAAAATACTTCTTCACAGAACATCCAGTATACTCTAAGAGATCTCCAAAAGCAGCAGAGGCCCAGGCAGGCATTCAAAGCCCCAAGCATTCCTTACAAATCAGTCCAGCAACATCCTCTACTGGATATCAATCTTCTGTACTTGGGGAAAAAAAGGAGGAAAAAAACCAAACCAAATAAATCTACCTGACATCTGAACAAAACCTTTTTTTTTGTTGTATGTAAAGCTTTCAAGATTTTTAAAATCTTGGCTAGGGATGCCTTCCACACTGAGACAGCCTAGAGGCAATAAACAGCATCAGCCCGAAGAGAAAGAATTGTCTGGTTTTTTGGAAGATGGATCACATAAGCTTTTCCTGTTTAAATACCCCCACCTCTTCTCTCCATTGTAAAAATGACCACTTGTTTTAATTTCAAAATACTGGTAGGATGAAACTATATTTACCTGATAAATATGAATATTGTGTACCTTGTTCATTTGCTTATAACCAGTGTTTCCAACCTAAAAATACAGCAGACCTGTGGTATTTGCCCCCTTTCATATCAGTATGTTCTTCCAGAGGTGAGGATTTACAAAACTAGCAGATAACCAGGAACATTTCTGGCAGCTGCTCAGTTCCAGGCAAGATTTGCAGTCAGAAATGCACAACCACATCATGAGACTGCGAGCTAGAGAATTTTTTCTCAGCTAATAAATGCCCACAATTCATCAGAGGAACATACTTGAAAACTGCACTGCACATAATTAAAATATAAAATTTCACTATTATAATATTTTAAAACTAAGTATGTGTTCCCACTGTGCCAGACCACAGCAAACTGTGCAACTTGAAGACTAAATTCACCCCCAGTTTTAAAAATCAATAGTGACAAAAGCCTTTTGGCAGTAAAATCTATTAATGTGTTGGATATGAAGAAAAAGCCTCACTACCAGAGAACTGCAAACAAAGTAATGCAATAGTTTACTAATGTGGTTCCAAAACTCATGAGTGTTAAAAAGGTAAGTATGAAACGAGGGGATGAGAAACAGAACAAGGAACTAGCCTGGAGAAATTCTTAAGTATCATGGAAATGATCTTCAAATGACAGCTACAAGTTGCCAGAAGACAGTCTAAGGACTCCCAACACAAATGCTTCAAGAAGAACAGGTAAAAAATATTTAGAAACAAAAAGTTGTGTTTTCTACAAAAGGAGAGCTGTAAACAGATCTCATGAGGAATCCATCAAAAAGAAAACAAAAATTATCAGCATTACATAAAAAAAAATCATAACCCAATGTGTCAAGCTCCCACTGGAACAATATAAAAGAATTTAGGATGTTCCTTAAAGAAAAACTGCTGAGGTTTGGTAGGATGTTATTAAATTCCAAAATTACCAAGAGGGTTAGAAAGAAACACATTTTCAAACATACCTATTATTTTTTATTAGACATCAGATATTTTTACATTTCCTAAATACACAAATGTAATGTTAGAGAGGCTTTTGCCCTGTGCTCAGACATCAACAGGCAGGAGAGTAGAACATGAATGAACACAGGAGATATATACATATATATAGATAAAACCCACTCCTCATCTCCATGGGGACACTGGAGGATGCTGTTACACACAGACCTGAGCTGGCTCTGTCATACAGAGCTCAGAAATTCAAAGTGTTTCAGCAGGGTTTCAGAAGGGATGTGGTTCACACCTGGCCAGCCTGGAGCAGGGACTGTCCCCAGGTTTGCCCTGTCCAAGTCCCACAGGGAACACAAATGACTCCAGTGTCAGGGTGCAACAAGTCACTGCCATGGGACAGAGCACACTGGAATTGTTCAGCGTGGAAACGCTCTGGGTCCTGGAAATTCACTCCCTAAATAACATTCCTTCTCCCCAGAGCTTGGGACATGTGAATAGAGGCAAAGCTTGGCAGTGAATCCCTTGTACCTGCTGTGCACAAAGAAGTTGCCTCTGTGTTTGAAGGAACACACGAGGCTGCATTTGAAAAAGCAAGTCACGTGAATATAGAGAAAATCATCAGAACAGCCAAGGATTATTTGTCACTGCCAAGGCAGGACTACACCAGTTTTAGAGATTGTATTGTGCATTCACAGCTTTGTCAAACCAAGACAATTTAAACTGCCACAGGTTAGTCTGTAAATCCTTGGAAACAGGTTTGTGATGCACTTGTGTTTTGTACTGTAGAACCAGCAATGAGGAACACTGTGGCTACCAGCAGCACTGTCTCTGCTCTACAAAGCAAGAGAGCTCACTTTGGTCATGATCAGTCCTGTCAACAAACTTGGGCACTTTCAACCACAAAAGGAAGAAAAGAAAACACCCCAACAGCATTTGAACAAGCATTAACACAAAAGCAGGGCCAAGTTTATCACAACACACATGACATCTCTTTACATGTCTTCCAGTACATGGCTTCACTAAGTATGATGTAAAACTCAATTTTAACAGAATATGACCTTCAAGTTGAGATTTAAATTTGCAAAATCTGAAATAAATTCAATTTTATTTCTAATTATTAATCCATAAGACTTCTTATAAACAAAACAGGCAATGTTAAAATGCCATCTGAGATGCCTCAAACAATCAAAGACACTTTTTAACACAGAAAACTAAAGTAAAGGGATGGCAGACACTGGCAGAAGCTTAAACTAAAGGTCAAATCTGGAAGCTCACTTGTACTGGGTTTGCATGGCCAGGTTTTGGGGGGAGGGGGGACTACAGGGGTGCCTTCTGTGAGCAGCTGCCAGAAGCTTCCCCCGTGTCCTGAAGAGACAGTGCCAGGCAGGGCCAGGACAGAGCCACCACTGGCCAAGGCCAAGCCCAGCAGGGATGGTGGCAGTGACACCTCTGGGGTAACACTGATAAAGGAGGGGGAAAATCCCTGTGAAACTGCAGCAGGGAAAGAGAAGTGAGAATGTGAGAGGAACAGCTCTGCAGACCCCGGGGCAGTGCAGCAGGAGGGGCAGGAGGGGCTCCAGGCACAGGGGCTGAGGTGCAGCCCCTGGGGAGGCAGCTGTGCCCTGCAGCACATGGGGGTCCTGATGGATCAGAGACCCCCTGCAGCCCCTGGAGGAGCCCCCACTGGAGCAGGGGGTGCCCAAAGGAGGTTGTGACCCCATGGGAAGCCCATGTTGGAGCAGCTCCTGGCAGGACCTGTGGTCCCATAGAGAGAGGAGCCCACACTGGAACAGATTTGCTGGCAGGACTTGGGACCCCCCATGGAAGGGACCCACTCTGGAGCAGCCTGTTCTTGAAGGACTGACTGCAGCCTGTGGGAGGGACCCCACAGAGGAGCAGGGGAAAAGTGTGAGGAGTCCTCCCACTGAGGAGGAAGCAGCAGCAGAGACGAGATGGGATGAACTGACCACAGCCCCCATCCCACATCCCCCTGCACTGCTCAGGGGAGGAGGTAGAGAAAGTTGGGAGTAAAGGAAAGCCCAGGAAGAAGGGAGGGGTGAGGAGAAGGTGTTTTCAGATTCAGTTTTTATTTCTCATTATCCTACTCTGATTTGATTGGTAATAAACTGTGTCAGTACCTGGTGACTGATCTCTCCCTGTCCTTATCCTGACCCACAAATGTTTCATTGTATTTTGTCTCCCCATCCAGCTGAGGAGGCAGTGACAGAGTGGCTTTGGTGGGCACCTGACACCCAGCCAGGGTCGACCCCCCATCATTATAGGGTAACTAACTCATACAACCTTTCTTACAGGTATGGCTGGTAGCCCTAACTGCTATTAAACCATCATAACAGTCCCCATTAGCAAACTCTGTTTTCCAATACTTAAAAATTCTGACAAACTTCTGAAGAGTTCATGGAGAAACTTCCCACTGACTGCTTCTCAATTCCTTTGGTCATGGTTCATCTAGAACATGCACTTCAATGGCAGGTGCAGAGCAATTGGTTGCCAGAGGTTTGATTTTTTTTCTCTCTGGTAAAAACACAGTGAAATCGA